TCCTCCTCCTCCTCCTCCTCCTCCTCCTCCTCCTCCTCCTCCTCCTCCGCCTCCTCCTCCTCCTCCTGCTCCTGCTTCTCCTCCTCCTTCTCCTCCTCCTCCTCCTCCGCCTCCCCCCCCCGCGGAGCACAACCCCTCCTCCTCCTCTCCTCCCTTGCTTTCGAGGGCCCGGGCCCGGCCCGCTCTCCCGCCCGGCGACCCCGGCCGCCAGCCGCGGCGGCGCTGGTGCGGCCTGCGGCGCCGGCCGTGGCGACGTCGCCAGGTCGGAGCAGTCCACCCAGGCTTCGAGGGGGGCTGGAGGCAGACATGATCGCGTCGTAAAGTAACCAGGACGAGCTGTTTTTGACTATTTTCGGCCCCGGGGGGGCCTTCGCCAGCTGCCTCGGGACCGTCAACAAAAACGTCTCAGGACGAAAAACCGGTCCCGGGGAAAGGGTCGGGACTTCAGGGACGCCGTCCTGAAACAATCAGGACGTCGTATGTTCGGGGAGCCTTCCCCCAGCCCTCTACGGTAGGTTCATGCGTCGACGGCGCGCTGGCGACGCTGGCGAGTTTTCAAGACTGAACTCCGCATGATAGAACGAGGGGTGAGGAACAAGGGGCGCGGTAACGCCGCAGGACCCGACGGGCTTCGGGGCCGCGGTCTGTTGAAGGTGAAACGATCGACGCGGTGTCCAGGACTCTGCGCGCGCCGACGCCGCACGAACTCTCCGTAGTTACCCCCTTCAGTTCTCGAGTTAGATTGTGTGTTTGGCGATTCCGTGGGCCGTTTTTTCGATTTCGTTTCGCAGCAGAGGCATAATGAAGATATTTAAAGGCTGCCGCCTCTGCCGCCGACCCCAAACAAGGCGGGGGAATCGCGCGGATGGCAACATCCGCGCGACGACGTCGTCAAGCAGTGCGCCGCGACGGCGAATGATGTCGGCATGCGGCGCGCTGTTTGGCAGGATTCCATGACAATGTTGACACATCTATGGTTCCTCAAGAAACCGCAAGAGCGAGCACGCACGCTTTTTTGGTACATTGAGGTTTTTACGGAACCATGTGTTTTCAGTGTGTGTTGGGACATCTTGTTTTGCAATCGCTGCGTAACCGAAAGTTTGTACAGGATTTCGGCATGCGCGCGCGAAGCCCTTGGGCAATATTGTCTTCAATTGTTGAAGCACTGATGGTTTTCTGAAGAATTCGCCAGGGCTAGCGTTTTTTTTAACACCCGCGTTTTGAAACCCTTCCGAAACCGACGGTTTTTTATTCGGATTTCGGCATGCGCGCGCGACGACGCGCGCGTGTGCACTTCGTCCCGTTTCTTGCGCGGGATTCATGCTACCGAATGACTAAACGAATGCCCGCGCATAGTATGTTGTGCAGCAGATGGCGGGGGGATCGATACCGGCTCGGCCAGAGGCCCGATCTTTGTCAAAGAATGCCATGCGGGGCAACGTTGTCCTCATCATCGCCGCCGGCGTCGTCTTGATAATCCTCACCGTCGTTTGTCGACGCCGTCTTTCGCAGGTGAGGCGGCATTAGGGCGAGTAGGTGTGCGGCGAAGGGGGATCAGGAGGTCGGTGCCGCGGGCCTGGATGGTGAGGAGGACCAGCGCGTTCACTCGCTGAGCTCTTGTAGCATGGGCGGCGCTACGCTGCATTTCCTTGCTGTGGGTGTTTCTTACGTGCCCCATCGTATGTGAAACAGGACATCATAGAGGTGATTGCGAGAGAAGTGGAATGATCATATGAACCTGCAACTATCAAGCGGTAGGGTGTGTTTGGCTGAGATAGGATTCGGTGCGTCCACGCTGGTGACAGCTGTCTTTGTTTTACGAGGGTTGGAGAGATGTACGTGGGTCCTGGTACACAGCGATGCTTAGACGTGCGCGGTCTGTATTCAGTGACGCCACTGAGAAATAATGGTTCCTGGACAAAGGACGCCCGTATCCGCGTTTGAAGTGAAGCGGCGGCAGGATCCCTTAGAGGCACCGGTCGGAGTCACGGTCCACTCATCACATTGTCTGACATGCAAGCAAGGAGTCAGCGTCGGTTTGGGAATTGGAGGGGGCACGTCGCCGTTGTCGAGTTACGTGGCCTTGACGCGCGTTCGCCGGCGGGAGGACATGTTGATCTTTCGGCACTTTGACCGGGGGCTGTGCACCTAGGGTGAGCGCAAGGGGCCCGCGGTACTCTTGCGACCATTGCGATGTGCGATTTCGATTTTGGATTGGTATGCTATCGAGAAGGGTTGATGCTGTCGGGGAGGTGCGCGCAGCGCACGTTTGTGAAGTACAAGAACCGGTATGCCTTTGGGCAATGGAGTCGCGACGGCGGTCACTGCGTGCGTAGCCTGTGCCTGGAAGGCATGGAGAGCGCGGGCACGCCGTGTCGGCGCACGGAGCGCGGTCTGTGGAAGGGGCAGTAGGCCTTCCACGCGTCCCAGCACCGCAGCTCGAAGCTGACGACGCGGCGGTGCGTGGACTGCCCCGAAAGGCGGAGATGCTTCGTTTGTGAAATTTGGAGATGCGAAGGGGCGCTCGCCCCGCATCAATGGGAGCGGGCAGGGAATAACTGGTGCAGAGGAGAGATGTTCGCACAGCGTGGCGAGCTTAAGAAACACCTGCTGTGTTTCCGCTACGGAGAAGAGAAGCACGCTAGAGAGCCCCCCCAAACGGACGTTCACAGCGATGAGCGGCCGCGCAAGGTGCGCAGGAAGGCAGTGAGAAAGGAGGGGGAGCATCGCACAGGGGCAGCGCGGGAGAAAATGCGTTCGAGATGTGGGGGCCCGAAGCAGAAGGGCGAGTACTCCGATTCACGCGGTTGAAAGCGTTGGCGCACGCGCGGAAGCGCGCAGAGTGCGTGGAGGCGGAGACCCTGGAAAGAAGCGGGGCCAGTCGGTCGAGAGTGAAAAAGTGCTCGGCTCGTGGGCAGTCGCAACTGGAGTGCTCGCGCTCTGCGTACATGCGGCGCACGCCGTCGGAATCAGCGCGGAAGTGCGTTGCGCGCGCGCGAAAGAAGGGCGCGAAGCGGCGCAGTTTCGGGGCAATTTTTCGTCGCGAGCGTGGGCTGCAGTGGCTGGCCGGAGCCGCCGGCGCGCAGGGTGCGAGAGACATGTGAAGACGCCGCGCGGCTGGTGGAATTGCATCGCCTGCAAGCGGGCATTAAAAGCTTGGTGCGTTTCCTGATTGGCCGAGCGTGCGTCGGAGAAGCCGGGTGGGAGGCAAAGGTGCAGCAAGTGCTTCGCTGGATCAGGAACGGGAAAGAGAGGAGTCACGCAGCGGAGTTGGGCATCGGTGGCGAAGAAAGGAACATGGGGTAGGCGTAGTGGGGGCAGCGCCGGGGCGGGAGTGAGTAGCGGGCCAGGGATGGCCGGTTGGGGGGGCTGCAGGATCAGAGGTTCCGCGGGGTGGTTTGGCAAGGTGGAGTCAAAGGCGGCCTGGGAAGGGCGGGGCCCGAAAACCAGATGTCCCGATGGGGTGGTCTGGAGGGGTGGGGATGTCAGACGTGGCGGGGCAGAGTGGGGATCGGGGCCAGTTCCGGGCCGGGAATTGCGGGCGCCGCAGGAACACAGGTCCCGAGAGGTTGCCTGGCGGGGTGGGGATGTCAAGCGTGGTGGAGGCAGGGTGGGGGCCAGGGTGGGTTCCGGGCCAATAGTTGCGCGCTGCAGGGCTTTCAGATCTGCAGCGGTCCCGAGGGGTGGTCTGGCGCGGTGGGGGTGTCCAACGCGGTGGAGGCATGGTTGGGTGTCAGGGTGAGTTTCCGGGCGAGGACACGTCGAGTGGGGGGGCCCGAGAACAGAGGTCCCGAGGAGTGGTCTGTCGGGGTGGGGATGTCGAACGCGATGGAGGTTGGGTGGGTTCTGGGCCAAGAATTGTCGAGTGGGGGGCTCCAAGAACAGAGGTCCCGAGGAGTGGTCTGACGGGGTGGGGGCGGGGAACGCGGCGGAGGCAGGGCTGGGAGTCAGGGCGAGGTCCGGGCAAGGACTTGTCGAGTGAGGGGCCCCGTGAACAGAGGTCCCGGGGGGTGGCCTGGCGGGGCTTTCATGTCAAACGCGGTCGAGGCTGGGTGGGGTATCAGGGTGGGTCCCAGGCAAGGAATTGTCGAGCGGGGGACCCCAAAAACAGAGGTCCCGAGGAGTGGTGTGGGCTCCGAGATTTTCGAATGGGGGGCTCCAGAAACAGGATTTCCGAGAAGTGGTCTGGCGGGGTGGCGGGGTCAAACGTGGCGGAGGCAGGGTGGGGGCCAGGGCGGGTTCTGGGCAAGGACTTGTCGAGTCGGGGGCCCCATGAACGGAGGCCCCGGGAAGTGGTCTGTCGGGGTGGATGTCGCGCGCGGCGGGGGCAGGGCGGGGGCCAGGGTGGGTTCTGGGCAAGTGGGGGGCCCGAAAACAGAGGTCCCGAGGGGTGGTCTGACGGGGTGGGGATGTCAGACGCGGTGGAGGCAGGGTGGGGGTCAGGGCGCGTTCCGGGCAAGGACTTGTCGAGTGGGGGGGCATCGAGGAAAGAAGTCCCAAGGAGTGGTCTGGCGGGGTGGGGATGTCACGCGCGGTTGAGACAGGCTGCGGGTCAGGGCGGGTTCTGGGCAAGGACTTGTCGAGCGGGTGGCCCCAAGAACAGTGGTCTGGCGGGGTGGGGCTGTCAAGCGCGGCAGAGGCAGGGCAGGGGTCAGGGTGGGGTCCGGGCCAGGGCAAGGAATTGTCGAGTGGGGGGCAGGTGGTCTGTCGGTGTAGGGATGTCAACCAGGGCGGGGGTCAGGGTTAGGGTCAAGGTGGGTTCCGGGCAAGGACTTGACGAGCGAGTGGCCCCGTGAACAAAGGTCCCGAGGAGTGGTCTGGCGGGGTAGGGGTGTCAGATCTGGCGGAGGCAGGGTGGGGGTCAGGGTGGGTTCCGGGCAAGGAATTGTCGAGCGGAGGGTCCCGAGGACACAGGTCCCGAGGAGTGGTCCGGCAGGGCGGGGATGTCAGACGCACGTGGTGGAGGCAGGGTGGGGGCCAGGGTGAGCCCCTGGCATCGACTTCTCGAGTGGGGGGCCTCAAGAGCTGAGGTCACGTGCAAGGGGTGGTCTGGCGGTGTGGGGATGTCAAACGCGGTGGGGGCAGGCTGCGGGTCAGGGTGGGTTCCGGGCAAGGACTTGTCGTGTGGGGGGGCCCGAGGACAGAGATCCCGAGGAGTGATCTGGCGGGGTGGGGGTGCCAAACGCGGTGGAGGCAGGGTGGGGGTCAGGGTGTGTTCCGGGGAACGAAGTGCTGAGTGGGGGCACCAAAAACACAGGTCCGGAGGAGTGGTCTGGCGGGG